TGAACCCCAAGGAGGGAATTGGTCAGTTTTGCTACTTCATTAGGCTTAAAATGAGCCATCCCCGTGGTGGACAGGGGGACCTCAGTATTTCCAAATAAGAAGAGCTGGGAGTGAAGTGCACTCTTTGGACCTGGAGTCCTGACAGTGAGAATCTCCTAGGCCCAGGAGACAGAGAGCTATGATGCCAACAATGACACGAGACAGTCAGAAGTGGCAGCAAATGCAGTACAGAACCAGGAGACTGGCAGGAGACAGGTGGTGGGCTTACCAGCTAATGGAGCAAGAAAGATGAGCACCTTCAGGCATAAGGCTTGCAGGTAGAGTAGGGTAACTCTGGGCACTTGGTGGCAAAGCTAGGCTTGTGGACCCAAGGATCTAGGCAGCTGAGCGCCTTCAAGCAGGAGGCTTTCTGGAAGAGTGGGGTGGTTCTGGCCACTGTGTAGCTAAAGAGCTTTGTGACACTTATCTGAGAAGGCATCAAGCAGGGCCAAGCAGCACAGAGTAAGAGGAGGCTGTCCTGATCAAAGAACTGTATCCTGAGTTATTTTTGATCCTGAATTGTAACTTGTTACTTCCCTAATAAATTCCATGATCGTGAGTATTGTCTGTGAGTTCTGTGTAGCCACTGCAATGAATTATCGAACATAGAAGGGAAGTAGTGAGTGCCATGAAAAGGACAGCTGGTGTCATAACTGGCAAAAAGACTAGAGAGAGGAGGTATATCTGACCTCTGTGTCACAGAAACCAGCCTGGGGCTGTTGATCTTGATTGTCCTACCCCCATGTGAAATCAGAAGAGGTTGGATGCCTCTGCCATGCTATTTTTACTGTTGGTGTCAGAAGTGTGATATGTTGCAATGGCTCCACAATCAGAGAAGAAAGAGACTTTGTAAGAAAAAGAACAAAGGGGCAATGAAGCGAAACTTTTGATTCTTAGATGGTTATTTTGGTTGATAACTGTTAACAGCTGAAAGGTAAGTACAATAGATACTCTCCTTCAAGAAAACAATCATGGGAGAAAGAAGGGCTGCTTATGCACAGGGAGACAGC